GAGAATCCTTCCAGGACCTACCCTACCAGTTCTCCAATTTCTTCAGCTTAAAATATTCAAGGTGCCAAGATGTCCTGAACCCCATCAAAAGGAATCATTACTTCAAGCTTTGTACTGAGAAATCCAACCATCAGATTTTTTCTAATGCCTCAAAGATTTAAAAAATTCTTAAGACCATGGCCCTGTTAAAGAAAAAATTATTCTGACACTTGTTAAAACAGCAATGAAAACTTTATTCAGCACTATGGCAATAAGTGTTGAGACTACCGGTATTATAATAGGGGAGAGAACTGTGGCCCAACTCTCAAAGCAGGACAGAAGGCTGTGGGTTTAAAGCCAACAAACTCTGTGTGTGTGTGTGTGTGTGTGTGTGTGTGTGTGTGTGTGTGTGTGTGTTTGGGGGGGGGGGGGGGGGGATGGTCAATGCTAGGAGAATCCCTAAGAGGAGACATCCAGGGTGGGGAATTCTTGCTAAACTGTCCCAGTAGAGTATATGGGGCGTTATTCAAGGCGTCCCTTGAGATAAACTTAACTGTGCAGGTGTTCAGCATTAAGTAGTTGCTAGCGAAGGGACTACTCTAAGCAAGCAGGACTGAGGGTAGGCATTATCATCTGACCTTATATTAATATAGTTAAGACTGTTGGAGGAATTACGCCACACAAGAATATGCAGTTGCAAATCACACAACACTTTATTACTCACAAGGTTCCTGGTGCCGTGGGCTCAGACTTAGCGGGGTCCCCGGGGAAGAGTGGCATCCTCTGCGGGCAGCGGCGGATCCGTCTTTGGGTGGCTGGCTGTCTGGTTGGGTCGAGTCAGCGGGAGGAGGGCAACCAAAGTCTCAGGATCAGAGGTGTGGCTGTTCTTCTGCCTTCAGGAGTGTGGATCAGGAGGATGATCGATGTCTGAAGTCGGGGACCCATTTTTTAAGCCTGTTCGGGCCCACGGCAGTCCAGGTGGCTATCTGTAACATATGTCATCACACAAGTGTTAATCAGAGTACAAGCTGGTTATCAGTAACATGTGTCATTCCTATGGGTAGAGTACAGGAGGAATATGGGGTAAGTTTTATCTATGTCACACACACATAGGGAGGTGGTTACCTAAGTGGTCAAGTCTGACCCTTAATATGTCACTCTAGAGTTCACCCTAAAATTACAAACTTATAAACTAGAAAATTATTACTATTACATAAACTTATTTAACAGGATTCTTGCTGAAGACAGACTGGGATGGTCAGAAATCAAGGACACACAGGTAAACAGATACTGAAGAAATTCAAGACATACCACCCAAAATATGCACTTTGGTATATATTGATTATTTTGAGCTGAAGGCACTTGCAAAACAGCAAATGCTAGGAGAGCCCTTCTCTGAACTTCACTGATTCACCTAAAGACAGATCCTCCAAAAAGAATTTTGTTGTCCTACATCCCCTCCCTGGGAGTTCCACCCACTAGGAGAGGATACTAGAAGTCACCACTTCATCCAGACAAAGTTTGTCCCAAACTTCCCAGCTGTTCTAAGGCCCAGTTATCTATTTAAAAAATATCCCTGACTCTCTCCTAAGAAGCCCATATCCCCTATGCTTTGGGTGTACAAGTTCTTACTGCTTTTTTGGGGTCTTTTTCCTATGATGCCTCCATGCATATAATATTAAAAATGAATACATTTGGACAGTTGTAATACAAATAAAAATATAATAAAAAAATTAATACATTTGTATGCCTTTTCTCCTGATAATGTGACAGTATATATTTCATAGGCCTAGCAATGGAATCTAGGAAAGCAAGGGTGAGGAATTCTCTCCCAACTGACTCAACAGGATTTTGGCTATAGCTGGACTAGTCAGGCCAAGGTCAAGGCCCAAGGACAAGACATAGTTGAAAAGAGGGCTCAGAGCAGCCTGTCTACAGTTTGGTGTCAATATCTGTTTCTACCACTTCATGCTCTAGCAACAACTACTTATACCCACCCACCTGAACTCACTCCATACTTCTGACCATGCAACTCTCTATGCTTGAAATGCCTATCCATCTTTTGGTCTATAACCCACATTCAAGACATAAGTCAGCCCTAGCTGGTTTGGCTCAGTGGATAGAGCATCGGCCTGCAGACAGAAGGGTCCTGGGTTTGATTCCAGTCAAGGGCACGTGCCCGGCTTGCAGACTCGATCCCCAGTGGGAGGCATGCAGGAGGCAGCCAATTGTTGATTCTCTGTCATCATTGATGTTTCTCTCTTTCTCTCCCTCTCTTCCTCTCTGAAGTCAATAAAAATATATATTTTAAAAAAAGACATGTCAGCTTGGACAAATTCCTTGAAAAATATAATTAGCAAATATGACATAAGAACATCTAAACAGCCCCAAATCTATAAAGAAATATAATTTAGAATCAAATTTCTAACATTTATTAGAAAGGCCCAGGTCTAGAGGGCTTTATTGGTGAATTCAATAAAATATTTAAGGAAGGAACAATGTCAATACTACACAAGCGCTTTAAAAAAATAGAAGAGAAGGAAATACTTCACAACTTTTTTTTTTTGAGGGCTGTGGGACCGATACCAAAACTTGACTAAGAGATCACAACAAAATAAAATTCTGTTTGCTAGTATTTTGCATTTCTCTGTTATTTTATTTTGAAAAAAAATTATTTTTTCAGAAAAGTTGTAAAGAAATGGCTCAATGAACACACATATACCCATCACCCAGTTCTGTTAACCTTTTGCTGCATCTGCTTTATGTCTCTATAAAATAGATGCTTCTGAGTCATTTGAAAGTTGTAGCCAGGAGAACTCTTGACTGAATAATTCAGCACACAGGTCTCCGAATAATAAGGCACTCTCATCAACAGCCATCACAACACTGAAACACTTAATGATTCCACAATACTCTCTAATGTATATTCTCACACAAAGTTCTCCAACTGCCCCCATGTCCTTCATAGCTTCTTTCCTTCAACCAGCTGTAGGATGATTTGCTGGTGGTCTCCTGTGGAGCGGTTCTCTAACTTTTCTGTTCTCCTTGATACTGACTTTTTAAAGAGTCCGGTGGAACTAGATTACCCAGATAATCTCTCAATCTGGATTTGTCTTATTTTCCCCGTGACTAAATTTATTTTAAACATTATTTTGGCTGATATACTTGGGTGATGTAAAAACCCACTTTTGACATTCAGTATGCTGAGTAAGGCTTCAGAGGGCAGCTGAGATACTTTTATTTTTCCGCTGTGAAAGCCATAACATTTATTGAAGAAAGAACGTATGTTTGTAAATCACAGAGCTGCCTGGGCATACATTCCATTGTTCCTAATGCTGTTCCAACAGCTGAGATACTTCTAGCAGGAACTGTAGTTGCCTCCTGGGGAGTGTGGCCCTTCAAACAAAGGGCTGGCTGAGCTCCTTGGCCTTGAAAGCTCTAACGACCATTACTACAGGCGACATTTAAACCAGGGTTCGTCTCCAGACATTTTTGGTTGTGATACCGTTGGGGGGATGGGGGTACTACTGGCATCTGAGTGGGAAGAGGCCAGCGATGCTGTCACACATTCCCCCTGAAAAGGTATTATCTGACCCCGAAAGTCAACAGTGTAGAGGTGGGAAAACCAAGGGAGCTACTGACTCCTTGGCACCATTCCTTCTTGTTTCTGAAAGGCTCCACTATTGTCTGGGCCATCAACACTAAACACACACACGGAAGTAACCATCCCCGATACCTCCCGCTAAGCAGGAGATGCACTGTATGCGGCTGTATCTAAACTGGCCCTCCAGCCGGCCTGGGAGCTTCCTGCGCCTGCCCATGAGATGAGCTCGGTTCCAGCAGGCACGTGGCAGGAGCCATCTTATTGGGAAGAAAAGGTGCCGGTGAAACCCCAAGAGCACTGCTCACGAGCAAGTGAGCTGCAGGTTAGAGCACACAGAGTGCTTTCCAGTAACAAGTCCTGCCACTCAGCCCAACACGCGAGGAGGCAGTTCCTCACGCTTGGCTGGCAGGCTGAGCCTTTGCATTCGAGGAACCGCGTCTGCCCAGGGACTGGCTGGAGGACACCGGCTAGTGTGTGCGTGTGCGTGTGTGTGGGGTGTCAAGAGAAAGCGCTGAAAGGGGGTGTGGGGGTGTGTGGAGGAAAACCAAGTTTGGACTTAGAGGAGAACACTGGCCAGGGTTAGGATTCAAACGCGGGAGCCAGCCTCCAGGTCCCGCACTCAACTCCTTAGGAGTCAGAACTGCCCCGCCCTCTCGCTCCTCCTCCTGCAAACACCTACCCTGACGCTCAAAGGGCGCCTGGGGCGAAATAAAGTCAAGCAAGTCCACCCGTGGCCATGGCACGCGTGGCTCCCGGTCTCAGGGGAGACGGGCGTGTACCCCCGTTGCGGTGGCGGCCGGGCGGCCGAGGGGTCCGCGCGGGCAGGAGCCGTCCATGGGGGCCACGGCTCAGACCGAGGACACCCTTGTGCCAGTGTCCGGCCTCAGCCGAAGGGCAGCGAGCGCCGCAGGACGACTTGCTGCTTTAATCCAAGGACAGGGAGAGCTGGCCATTCCGTTATAGGCCTCCCACTGAGCGGAATACCGAAACTTCCCGGGAGGCCTGCCGTCGGCATCAGTAGCGCCCACTGGGCTCTCGGACCTCCCCCTCCGAATACCGCCCCTTCCCGGCACGCACCTGGGCCCCTGCGGCCCCGCACGGCTAAGTGAG